CCCCCCCGCGCCACGAAATCTGCACTTCATCCCCGACACCCGCGCCTGCCACGAAATCAATATTTAAGGTGAACTCCCCGGTGCAAAACTTTCTAACCAACTCTACACATCCACAAAGTCCTGCATCTGCCACGAAATCTGCACTTCAAGGTCCACAAAGTCCTGCGCCTGCCACGAAATCTGCACTCCAAGGGCCACAAAGTACTACACCTGCCACGAAATCTGCACTTCAAGGCCCACAAAAAGTCCTGCGCCTGCCACGAAATCTGCACTTCAAGGCCCACAAAAAGTCCTGCACCTGCCACCAACTCTGCACTTCCACATCCACAAAGTCCTGCACCTGCCACGAAATGTGCTTTGCAAGGTCCACAAAGTACTGCACCTGCCACGAAACACCCCCCCAAAAAAAACGAAACATAAAAATCCAAAATTAAGTCGCAGCCCCTTGGCAAATGGTATACAGTGCAGTGTGGATCAGGGCTGCTTGTCAGACCAAACATATTTGGAGGGCGGAATCCGCTTGTGAACAGTTTAGTGAACCAGGTGGCAACTTGCCTGTCATTTCTTCGAAGAGCTATCGACAGAGACGCTGCGGCCCAACATCATTTCAGTCGGAGCTTTGATTAGTGCTTTTGAAAAAGGCACGGGTGATGCATTTGGGGGTTTTTGAAACAGTCATGCACGGTAATGCAGTTGTTTTGTTGGGCTTGACAGCTGATGCTTTGACCATGTTCCTCCCATACCTGGCGTTCTGGTACTGGAGTGAACGAAGAGCTTGAACAGATTCGAGAACTTTGTGTCAGCATGAGCAACATGAGACCCTGGAGAGAGAGGGAGTGGGGCTTGGGCAGTCGGATAGAACTTGTGATTCAAGTACAGGTACGTTTGCACAAGTCAAGTTATGTACCTGCATGACCTCGTTCTTTTGAGTACCTGCTCAGCATGCCACCTTTCTTTGGTGCAGGTGGTGAATGGGAACATGCGCTACTGCTGCTTTCCAGTTTGGAAGACTTGACTGTGAAAGCCAACGAGATTGCCTACAATGCTGCCATCAGCGCATGCCCTTGGATGGCAGAGGAAACAACACAAGCTATGTTGGAAAACTGGTTGAGAAACCTAGGAGTCTTCTGCACACTCTCATAATAGAGGGCTGGCTGAATTCCAGAATTCGTCCTCGAGTGGAGCACAGCTTTCAGCGTTGGACTGTGCAGGTGAGAAGCGAGGGCAATGGCAAATGGCATTGGTACTGCTGCGCGTTGGCATTTTGGAAGGAGCAATGTTCGCTACTAGGAGCAAGAAGCTACTAGGGGCTCCTGGCATCGCTACTAGGAGCAAGGACGCATGTATTAGGTTAACAAGCCTATTGTGGATGTGTCGAACTGTACCTGGAAACACTTGGTGGCATAGTCTGAGCTTTTTAGTCTGCAGATGTCTGCAGTGTGCGGTCGGCTCACAACTCAGTGATGCTCATGCCCCCTCGGTTTCATTCGAGGTCGTTGTGTGCTCATTTGGGATTACACCTTGTATGCTCAGGATTTGCAATGTTACTACGTTACATCAATTTGCCAAACATGTGTAAGACTTGGTGCTCAAGTCTATATTATAAGTTATATGATAGCTTCAAATGTGTGTGCCACATTTCATTTTGCCCCTTCATCATAAGTCCGACAAGATTGTCTTTGGGTTTGACTCGACGCTGTTATCACAGCCATCACGCCTTTTGTTGCCCGCATTGCGATGCTCGCAATTGTAAGCTTTGATGTCGTTTAAGCATCAGCCACACACGCAGTTCGTCCATGCAGTTGATTCATGGATCTTCAGCTAAATCCACTTGTTTGCCGAGGCTCCAAGAAGGGATACCGCGCCACATGGCAGACGTGATCTCCTACAGTGCAGCCATCAGCGCCTGCCAGGCAGATCCATAGACACACCTTTACCATCTTACCTTTCATTTAAAACCTAAGTTATGGTATCGCAATGTGCGACCCAAGTCACGTGCTCTTGAAGCTGCGTGAATTAAACACAGTGGTCGCCGTTGGATCATTTAGGACTTTTGGAACCACGGAATACGCCGTCCAGACAGCCCCAGCATGCTGTGATGCACTGTGTCCCTCATAGTCAAAAGACGTTCTGGCTATATTTTCGATCACACCTTGATGCAAGTCTCAATGATCGCGCCTTTAAGCATATCATATGTCCGTATATAAATATATTTCCTGGTGCAGGCCACCTACCATAATTAGGTTCGTTAGTTTATGACATGTGATATGTGTGTTCTTTATGTGTAGCTTTAACTTTTGGCAGCATGGTGCTCTTTTCCCGCTCCTTCAAATTCAAAAGCAAACTCTGCCGGAAGGAGGAAGGCAAGTGGCGACATGCACTCGAGCTCCTTGATGCGCTGTTCTCAGTGCCCGCAAATCTCAAGTGTCAGTGGCATGAATAATTGTGTAGGGCCTAGTAAGGAGTTCATGAAGAATCTGCGAGCAGAGCAGTCAGCAGCAACTAGCAGTGTTGTGTGAGGCCATGCTACAAGACTTTGGCCCTTCTTTAGTGGCCATTTCGGCTGCTTGCAGCGCGTGCGCCAAAGCCTTCCAGTGGCAAACAGCTGTGGCCCTGCAGCCTGGCAGCTTTTGTGAGCTTTGTATGCGCCGCATGCCGCATGCCAACATAACTTCTTTACAGCTGGGGCCGTTGCGACGCCGTCATCATTTGCTGATGAGTTTTGATGACCGTGGCTCGTGGGTCCGACCTTGGACAGACTACGACGGAGGACCCCGCGCGGCGGCTGAGGTTCTCACAGCTTCGCGGTAGCTCCCTCACTCCCTCCATCGCCAGCTATGACGCCGCACTGGAGGCCCTCCACCGAGGGTTGCAGGCACAGAAAGCATTGAAGCTGTTTGGAGAGCTTCAAAGAGAGCGCCTGGAGACTTGGAAAGCAAGACCGGCTCACCGTCCGATTGTTTGGGAGAGGTGGAAGGACCAAGGCAGGGAAATAGACAATCTTGGTGAGGATTTGCCCTTGACAACACTACTACTCAGACTCAAGGGCTCCCAAACTGCATCCTTTTGGTTTACGGGCAGTTGAAACTGTGGCAAACTTTGATCAATTCACCAGACAATATTAGAAAACTTCGGGTGCCTGCTGCCAAGACCATTTCCTGAGCAAGAGGGGCCTGTAGCTTTGGAGAGTATGAGCGATTGGAAGCGATTCCATGTCTCACGTTTTCTGAAGGATGCATTCATACATGAAGCCAGAACCTCATGGGCAATGATGGCAGGCAGAGGGTTGGGGCCAGTTGGGGCCGCATAATAGCAATATGCGACAACAATCCAAATGTATAACTACAATCAATATTACTATTGTTCATGCACTGGCAGATATAGACATATAGAGAGAGAGAGGGAGGGAGAGATCTCCTGCCTAGGCTCCTCCTACTGGAGTCTCAAGCAAACCCTAGTTACATGCAGGGTGCGAGTCTAAGGAGGCAGACTCCTTCCTGTACAAGTGCATGGTGAGCTTGTGTGAGAAGAGCCGCAGTGGACTGGGGTTAGACAAAGTGCTTCTAGGTTGGAGGCCATCGCTAGGAGGTTGGAGGCCATTGCTTCTAAATTTTGTTGGTCGGAAAAAAACAACTAAATGAGCTGTTGGGGTTGGGGGTTGGGGGTCATTCTTTGCGACGTATTTTTTGAACTCTTACATCGAGTCGGTGACGGTGAACAGTGTTTCATGGGCAGTCATTGGGAGTCAGGCCCGGTGGTTTCAACAAATACCTGTTGTGTGCGCTAGAATGCTGGAGATGCAGGAGAGAAAGCAAAGAAGCTTTTGATGAAGCTGGAGGATATGGCCACTATAGCCATGTGCTTCGAGAGGTTCAAAAAGCTTGCCTTAGCTTTGCACAACCTGTAACATTTCTTCGGCACAAAATCGAATTGATGACTTGGAGACAATATATAATATGACAAACCAGTAACAACTAGTAACTAACCCGTGTGCAAACAAGCTTGATGCAGTTGATGCCATATGCCATCCAAACAACACTGACCAGCTAAGCTCTCCCCTTCCGTCAAGTGCTCAAGCCTCAAGAGCTGCCGTGCTTGCCGGAAAAGCTGGCCAAATCCCAAAATTTTAAATGGATCACAATCAGAGCGTCTCCTTGCACGATGATTTGGGTCGGATCTCGCGATCAAACTATCAAGGCGTCCTGGATGCAGGAGTTTGTGTGTGTGTGTCTTTTTTATTATATATATTTGTTTTTTTGCTGTAAGCATTTCTCCCCGGTGAGAGCTACAACTCTTACAGACCCTTGATATTTTGGAGGTTGTTGCTGGGAGCTTTCGTTCCGTGTCAATATGCTTCTTTGTGAAAACACTACTGTGTTCTTGCGCTGGCTGGTGCCGTATTGCCTGGAGAAAGCTCCCTGATGCAACTGACATGTTTTCAATAAATTGTATTAGTTACTTAGATCATTTAGATCAAAGCTTGGGTTGCTTCATGTTGTAGAGGCTTAGGCTTAGTTGAATGCAGACATATTCACTGTGTGCGATTGGTGCGGTGTTGGTTTTCGAGATGAGGAAACGCCACATTTCTGGGTGCCTCAAGAGATTTCTGGATTGTCCTCGCCTCCTCAGCAGCCCGGCAGAACGGCCCTGAAAGGACAAGGTCAAGGTGTGCATGTTTACGTTCTCAAAAGTATCTGAGATGGCACTGAGGGACGATAGGAGCAACATTGAGCAACCCTCCCATACTCTCCCGACCTTTTGCCCCAAGCTGCCCTGGCTCAAAACCTTCCAAGAATTTTGTCACTTTTGTGCAGCAACTTGTAGATGGGCTGCAGGTTGGGGGTATGGTTCTATGCTTCCTGATGACCTTCCTTACAGTCGAGATCAACACTCGGCGCAGGCGAATGCGAGATAGTGACATCGATGAGGCCTTGGGGACAAGCACAGAGGGAAACACTAGGTGTTTTCAGAAAGGGATACAGGTACAGTAAACCGACGGAGCGACAACAATTTCGAGTTCAGGGTGGTTGGTTAACCTAGCATGCTTGGCTTGCTCCAGGATGAACATTGCAGGCGCGACCTTGATGTCCCTCTAGTTGCCTTAATTTATACGGTCGTTGAGCAAAGGCGTCGTGCATAGCGCCCTGCTGGGGTACCAAGCAGCTGAGCGAAGTGGCTGTGCACAGGAGTTGCCAACGGACCCCATTGCTAAGCCCTTCGTGAATTCCGGCTGCACTCGAAGAATGGTTTTCAAGGCACGGCGGTGGGTTTGGCACCGGATGTGGTGTGTGCTCCGGAACGTAGGCCGTGCCTTTTAAACCGAGGAACGTAGGCTGTCCTGACCATAGTGGATGTTCTGCAGGGCGGAAGGGAAATGAGTGAAATGAGATGTTGCAAGTGCATCGGGCTCTGTGGCTTACTCAACTCTCAGTTCAAGATATTTAAGGCCACCCACTACTGCAGAACATCTTCAAGAGTGAAAAAAAGAGAGGACTTGACAAAACGGGGAATTCATCGTGGGGTCATGTTGATGAGCAGAGTCACATCAACATGTTGGGTAAAGGGGGGGCTGCCCGCAAAACCCACATTCCAACGGCATACAAATCATGCGTTTTACTGTGCAGATTGTGTTTTCGTTTTGGGCTAATGGAATTCTTGCCTTGGAGTTCATGAACTCCAAGACATTGAGTTCGGCTCGCCTATTGGACGAAGACTTCATTGACATCTTCACAAGCTCTGGCATTGATCTTTTGCCAAGGTCTGCTATGTAGCCTCTAACATCCTCTAACACCATTAGACCATTATGCCCTCGCAAGCAACATGCATTCCTTTTTACACTTCTGGTGAGCAGGACACCATAGGAAGCGTCAAACATGAAAAGTGGCCAGTTTTTGTAATTATGAAATTAGCAGCATGGAATGGTTAAGACATTATCCGGACCCGACGCCGTTAAAAAATAAATAACAACAGATTGATGGAACAGCAAAATGTCTGTCAATGTCGGAGTGACTGCTAGAAAATGTCTTCATTATTGTCTGGTCTAAGATGGTGCTTTGCACTTGCCCTGACGAACCTCCTATCCTCACCACACGACACGGAAAAATACATCTTGCCCCGCCCACCTCAAAGCCCCCCTTGAGAGAGACATGTGAAAGATGCGAAAAAAAAAGAACAAGATACTAAGAGGATGAAGTTGGGCAAACCACCACGTTGACCCAACATGTTGCAACATGTGGCGTGCTACCTTGCCAGGAGCTCCGCTACGGTCAAAGCTTCGCATTCCATGCAGACCTGGCCTTGCGGGGAGCATTGGTGGCCACCTTTTGTGCTTCTGCGTATGTCTTTGACTTCTTGCCACTGAGCACAGCCCTGGATATAATATAGGTAGTGCTGTGAGCCGGCTGTGAGCCCCGTGATTGAAGCCCTTTTAACAGGGATCCGGGATCCTGTAAGATGTACTCGAAAACACGTTGACATGCTTGGGAGCTTTGGCCAATAGGGGGTGGCCACTTGTAGACGAGGCCACCCCAACAACCAGTGTAACAACCAGCCGAGCCCTAGCAGGCAGACCATTCCTGAAAAGAAGGTTTTTGATACCTCCATTGCCTTTTGCGCATGTTGTGCATATTTGAGCTGGATCTCAGTGTCAGTATCCATCACAGACATACTAGAGTCTTTTGTGATTTTATCATGTGCCTTCACCTTTTCCTGGGTGTATATAGTTTCCCTGTTCTACTGATTTCTGTTTGTTTTGCATTGTCTTGGTGATTTGTTTGTTTCGTTTTTGTTACGTGACCAATTTGTTTGCCATGAATGAATTTTGCCAAGTTTGCCTTCTGGCCTTTGGCCTTTGAGAGCCAACATCGTATTTTCAGCAAGGATTATTTGGAGACCCTCCTCAGTTTTCCAACCTTAGGTCCTGGTGGCAAAATCAAGGATGGTCAATGAGCTACGCCAGGATCTTAAACTGCGATGCCCAGCCCGGTAGATGCGATGTGCTTCAGGTCAAGTCCGTTTGGAAGGCATTTTTCTGCACCAGCTTGTTGCAAGAGTCCCCACTCCAACATTCTGCAGGGAACATTCTTTATTATCCAGGGGTGCCGAAGGCAGTGAGTCAGGAGTTTTGTGGCGGTTGCCATAGTCACAGCAGCTAGTCACAGTAATGGCCTCCAACCTAATAGCGATGGCCTCCAACGTAATAGCGATGGCGATGGCCTCAAACGTAATAGCGATGGCTTCCAAGGTCGTAGTCATTCTGGCTTTTACCCTGTATTTGGACTTGGGCAGCACCGTGCTTTCTGCCTGGACGGGCTTTTACGGCACTGTCATTGCTGTGCTCAACTGTTGGCTTATGTTTGGACTGTATCCTGAGGGGGTGACTTGGAGATGGCCTAAAACAGGAAAGGATTGGAAAAGGTCAAGTTTTCCAAGCAAATGATGGGTCTTTGGGAATATTGGGAACTGACAAATCTGTATAGTAGGTATCGACGATCTTTTGCATAAGTCTTGTGGCAAGGGAATCAACAAACCGCCAACACGATTGCATTAAATTGCATAATCATTTGCATGTCTCATCCATCAACGGAAAGACCAATTGAGAACTTACAGTAGTTCTCGACCACTCCGCAGTGAAACGCCAGAGTCTAGAGCATCCAACTTGGAGGGGGAGGCCGAAAGGACCGCAATTGAAGCAGCATTCAAGTCAAGGGACAGATGTTCACTTCTTTTTTTTTCCGGGCTTGATTTCGTCCTTCCTCGCGGAGTGTATCGATCAAATCCTCAATCGTGACTCCAGGGTAGTTGTTGTTTTGTATTTTTTCAATAGGGACCCTGGACCCGAGGTCAAGAAAGAAGATATGTCAAGCTACATCTTCGGGTGGATTGATTTTTTTGTGGTCGTTCTGCTGATGTTTGCCCTCGGATTTTCGACAAATGCCAAGATGTACGCTCTGCCACTTGGCGCTAGCGCAAGTCGTATCGTTGAATTTTTGGGAGAAACTGTGCGCCGCCTATATGAGCCTGCATTATGATAGTGGATCATCATTACCATCGTCATCATCATCATCATTCTCGCTTCAAGAGTATGTAAGTGGTGGCCTTGTATGCCCAAAGGGCCAAACAAAAAGCAAACATGACCTTCCACTTACCAGACCCTGCCACACCTCTAGCAAGCTCACGTGCGGACGGGAGCAGCTTTGCGAGGGTTTGCGGGCCCAGGATCATACAGAGGATGTCCCCTAGCCCCTAAGACCATTCCCCTTCGCCTCCAAGACCATCCTCAGGAGATACCTGGACTCTGTGGGGATGGAGTTCCATTATGTACTGTAATGGGTGGGTGGAGTTTTAATATGCCTTGGGAATAAGGTCATGGCAAGCGTATTTCTCCATGTGCTGCTTGGATAAGACTTGGACTTGGTGCAGCTTTTAAACATTCCTGTTGGCCACTTGGATAGAGACCTGAAAACACAAACACACACATGAGCTGAGTACATGAAAGGAATTATATATATGGAGGTTGTCCTGTGGTTTGTTCGCGTAAGAAAATTCACTTTGGGGCGTAGGCTCGCGTAGGCATTGTTGGGGAATGTCTTCGCGTAGGTTCCTTGCGTAGGCACCCCTTAAATGTGTTGCGTCTCATGGTTTCGGTGTTTTGCTAGGACAGAGGCTCAGTTCAGAGGGACAATGGCCAGCAAGGAACAAGATCCCGACACTGCACACATGCAAACAAACGATGCAGATAGTGCGTGAAATTGCTGTGGCAAAGCCGTTCTTGCCAATAGCGGCGATGGTGGAAATACGATGAAATACGTGTTTTCTCGCGTAGGCCTCGCGTAGGCTTCGCGTACACACTGCGTAGGCGGACCTCCCATTTGTGAACTATACCCCACGTCTCCGCACAACTGTCTTTCGGCTGACAAGTCTTGCCTTGCAGCTTGCTGGCAAAAGCATGGAGTGAACACACGTCTTCTTACAGGTGGCAGTAGTAGTGCGTCGTAGTCGTAGCCGTAGTGGCAGTAGCCGAGTTCACCAGGCAGCGACTAGACCACAAGTACAGAAGAGTGAAACATAGTGAAACCCAATGGCAGCATAGGCAAAAACACACTAGCAACACAAAAGCTGCATCGCGTATGCTTCGCGTACACATGCTTCAACTACCGCTGTCTCGCGTAGGCAAACACTGTGGTGGCGTAAGCATGCGTAGGCTCCTAGCGTAGGCACCGACAAATTACAACACTCCACATAACCAAAAAAATGCTGCTCAGACATCACGAAAGCTAGCGAAGCTAGCTGGAGTTACTCTTGCGATAGCAAGGTTTCTTTCGACCGGGTGCAAATCCTAACCCCTGATTTTTCAGGTCGAAGCCCCCCCCCCCCCCCCCCCTCTCCCCACCCCCCCCCTCCCCCCCCTTGCCCTCCTCCCACCTTCCCTCCCCCCCGCAAGTTCGACTCCGTCCTGTCGTCGCTCTTTGGCATGCGGTTAGCGTTGCGTATCTTGCGGCCGCACTCGCTCACTCTCACTCTCACTGTCTCACTGTCTCTCTCTCTCTCATCTCTCTCATCTCTCTCATCTCTTTCTCATCTCTCTCATCTCTCTCTCCTCTCTCTCTCTCTCTCCTCTCTGTCTCTCGTCTTTCCGTCTCTCTTCTCTCTCTTCTCTCGCAGGAGGATCCGGGCAAAGAGCCACATATAAAGGACTCTTCACCCCTGCCTCCAAAAAGAGCGCCGTGTTTTTTCCTACCTCGCTGCCCTCTACTTTCCCATTCTGGAGCGCTAGCTTTCGCCCCCCCTCTTGGCCTCAAGTGTGTATATATATATATATATATTATGTTTATATATACACACAAATTGTCACCTACAATTTGGCATCAATGTGTTGCCAGTTCTCTATTGATGCGGGCATGGGCCCAAGCTTTAGAGGCACTGCACAGGCCTCTAAAATGGCTGTTTGGGATCATGATGTGTAGATGTTCCACTTCTTTCAATGATTGCTATCATGAAGATGCTGGTTTGCAGGTACACCCTTGCTTGCTTGTTCTATTGAGTCAGGACTCGGACACAAAAATCTGGGCAGTGAAAAACAACCAGCACCGAGATGCAACCCTCTTGGAGGTATTCAAATTGGCGGCTGGAGAACAATGATGCATTTGAGAGTCAGAAAGAAATACGCAAGGAAATGCCTGAAAAAAGAACAGCATGTTGCTAGCATGTTGTACTTTGCTGTTTCATGAATTTCGATCTTTGGTTGTCAAACATGAGCATGTCGTGACACTGTTTGATGCGTCCCGCTGGGGGCCCTGCCAAGTCGGTCAGCCTACACGTAGTAAGAGCATTTGGCAGCCTCCAAGCACATGTAACACTTGCGCAGAATGTGGTGTGGGCAGATTGATTCATTCGAGTCCTATATCCGCTTTAACTCCACTACTGGTGTTAGCCTTTCCATGTTGGTGTGCCAAAAACGCTTTCCCTACCCAGCCGAAGAGATTCGAAATGGTTCAAAGGCTCGCTCCAGCTGCCACCACAAGTGAAGGCCCAATGTTCTTACCATTTGTCTTCTCAAAGCATATTTTGAGGTTTTCTGAATCCTTTCGATGCCACAGTCTTCAGCCGTGGTATTTCCGATGTGATGCTGCAAGCCGCCGAGACTGGTGCACTGATGGGCACAATAATAGGCTAGCACTGGCACGGAAGTTGACGTGTGCTTTTTGATTGTCCTTGGGGGAGGTGTTTAAGGTAGTCGAGCATATATATATATATATACATACATATTTGAATGTCGTGAATGTCAGCAATATTCGGTCTAAGTGGACCACTTGTGATTCTGTTGGGCCATTTGTGCATAGTAGAGTGACATGACATTTGGCTCGGCCAGTGTCGGCCAGGCTGCATTTTTGCAGTGTTCCTGGCCATACTCCCAAAAAACATTTCTGCATTGAGCAAGGCCCAGGACGCGGCGCATGCTGCATTATGCGACAGGCAGACATATTATTTTCTCTAGATGTTGTTTCTTAGAGCTGAGAGAATATACGTTTTACAGCTTTTCACTGTACCTCCAGAACATATGCCAGATCAGTGCAACATTGACAAACTAGTTGATCAATACGACGTTGCGTCAAGAAGTCCATTATGTCGTGACCCCAGTGTGTCAGGACATGCTTCTTGACTTGACGTGGTCGCACGGAAGGCCTTCTGACTTGATCAGCATCATGCACCATGTCACCAGTGTCCTGCAAGCAATCAACTTATATATCGTGATAGCTAGGGTGGTTGGTGGTTGGTTGCTATTCAGTGCGGATCGGACTGATATATATATATACATAAACAAAAACATTGTTTAATGTCGCTATTAAAAATTGTCAATAGGGATGGGGTCCCAGTATAGTCGCTATACAGGTACATGCCATATACTTTTGGCTCAAGTGCCCAACCAGGTAAAAAGGAGCTTTAGCGCGCGAGCTTCATGTTGACCTAAGAGCTAGAACGGGGCCAGGGCACACCTTTCCATCCGTTCGCAGGTTATCAGCCGTATCCAGACTCCTTTGAGCTGGGTACGAGCTGCGGCCTTACACAACACCATCTAAACGTACACGCATCGGATAGATCAGTTACCCTCAGTCACTGAAGATGGACCAATCCGACGCCAGCACTGCATCTTTTGGAGCAGCTGCTGCGGCCGCAGATCGGATGAGTGCATCCCACAACTCTAGTCCAGGTACGATCGAAGCGGAGACTCTGACAGCGGTGAGAGAAGATGCGACAGGTAGAGCGCGAAGTCGTTCCCCGTCAGCGCACTCGACACCACCGGGGGGGACACCGAGATCAGGCCGTAGCCCTAGGGAGACAAGGAGGAGGACTGACACCGGAGCTGTGAGAGTGTTAGCATTGGAGGATGGGTCAGCTGTACCAGTGCCGTCGGACAGCGAAGCTGGAGATGGAGCAAGGGCAAGCACTGACAACCTACAACTAGCACGGGCCGATGGGGACCTGAATGCGAAGTGTGCGCAACTACTTGCCGAAGTGCATATGTTGAACCACCAAAACGCATGGATGGTCGAATGTGAGCAGAGACAGAACCAGATTATACAACACGAGACCGAAGTCCACGAAGTAGTGATGGCACACCTCGAAGAATGTTATGTCGAAGGATATGGAAATCAACGAAGAATCTCCCAACTTACAGAATCCAGAGACTGTTTGCTCTCAGCAGCACACGACCTGCAATACCAGATGGACACTGATCGTGTGGCAATGCGGGATCGTCTCACCCAGCTAGGGGAGTACGCTGATCGCAACAGCGCAGAGATGGTTAGTCAAGTTGTGAACATCGGCACGGAAGAGATCCAGGCTATATCGGCGGAAAGAGATCGAGCCGTAACCGAGGTCATGACTACAATCGCAGATGCTGAGAACGTCAAGGATCTGTGTAGACAGGAGTTAGTTGGACTACAAAGGCAGAGTGCCAGAAACAAACACGAATATGCTGAAGAGATGAAGATGAGGGAAGCAATGTATGCAAACAAGATCAAATGGTTATCAGAAGAGAATGAGGAGCTCAACAACCGATCTAATACTCAGGATAAGTTCATCTTGAGCATCAGAGAGCAATTGAAGAAGGCGAACGAGGAGTTGACTCAGACGAGGATTCAAGGATCCGATCGACCGTTTCAACCATCTAGCGCCGAACTCAAGAAGGCCGAAGCCAAGGTGAACATGTTGGAAGAGGACATTCTACGTAAAGAGAGGATGCTGAAACGTCTTCAGGAAGAATTGATCGAATCAAGCGCAAGTGAAGCACAATTGAAGGTCGCACTGAAGTTGAAACCACCAGACATGGGATCAGAACCCAGTGTGGAGAATGAGATGATGACCAAGCTTAGAACGGAACTTGAACGTACTGAAAAGTTATTAAGGTCCGAGGAGAAAGAGGCAATTGAGTACTACGAAGGTATGATGCAGAACCAACAGGACATGATGGAATTCGAAGCGCATGCATCACGGCTCAGAGATGAGAGGAATAAGTACCGGAAGAGGTACGAAGAGGAGCGTACAAGTGCAGAGAATGCAGCCGCAACCGAACATGGTACCGCTTCATCCTCTAGCTCAGGCGGCTCCAGGATATCTCGGAAGGAACACGAGAAGATCAACATCCCTGCATGGCCCAAGATACACGACCTGGAGGTTTGGAAATCCCAGGTTGTAGCGGCAGTCGTGACGGCATCGGGCGACGAGAAACAAGAAGACTGGATCCAATGGCTCTCGGATGCCTTCAGATCACCATATGACCCATTTCTACTCGAGACATCAGGCGAAGCAAGATTCGCTAGCATAGACGCAAAGCTAGGTATCACCCTACATACGATCATCCACGCAGCAGGTGAGAGATCTCACGACGTACAACTGAAGGTGAGGCAGATGATGCAGAGACGTGCGAGAGGCACAACTCCTGGAATGGTCAAGGGACGAGAAATGTTAGCGTTGATCGTCGATAGTTTCCGGAGTGCCGACAACGTTGATGTGATGTATGCATCCAAGCACTTATTCGATCTAAAGTTCCCTGGGGATAATCAACTATCCAGATTCCTTGGACAGTGGGATGAGATCATATCAGGTATGGATGCGGATGACATGCTTCCTGACAAAGCACTTCGCAACCTGCTTTGGGATAAGATTAAGGATTCCAAAGTTATGGCGTTAGACTTGTCTGTGTACGACAACATGTTGGATAAGGATCCGGATAAGACCTACCAGAAGTTACGAGAGATCATGACGAAGTGGATACGGAAATCAATTGAGACCACAAACAAGAAAGAAAGGGAAAAAGCTTTTGGGAACATCGTGAAAGCCACACCAGCGGCGGAGAAGAAGGACCCTAAAGCGAAACCCAAGAATACCAAGACCGATCCACCGAAACATGACGCCGCTCCAGTACTTCCTCAGGCTAATCCGAAGGACCACAACAAGAAGGACAAGAAGCAGGATCGTGGAAGATCAGCCACGAAGAGCCCAAAAGGGGATCGTGGCAGGTCAGCGACTCCAGCAGATACGTCCAAGATAGGATGCGCTTTCCACTTCCATGGGAAAAACGGATGTTCTAGAGGAGACAAATGCAAGTTTAGTCACCAAGAGAAGCACAAGAGTTCTGCTAAGAAACCAGAAAACCTCAAGGGTGACAGATCAAAGAGTCCCGGTGGCAGGAGCAGTAGCCCTAAGCCAATGAAGGATCAGGTCTGTTGGAATTGGCAGAAAGGATCGTGCAAGTTCGGGGACAAATGTCAACGTCAGCATCACGCTGCTCCTGCTACAAAACAAGAGGCTAGAGGCAAAGCCAAGCCCAAACCGGCTGCGCCAGCCTTCATGTTTTGCGGAGACATCGAGAGTGATGACGAGGACGTACAACCCGCACTTCCCAACGTACAACAAGGTAAGCTGGCGCTTCGCTTTAAAGTCAGATTCGATGACCAGGCGAATGTGACCACGTTCACCTGCGATCCTGGTAACGAGCTAAACAACCGTCCCTCCAAGAAGAAGAAGAATGAGGTGCAGAAGGTGGACACCGAGCTCATTTCGTCGTTGAGAGCCCTCAGAGTGAGCAACATAGCTGCACGAGTAGCACATGCCAAAGGTAAGATGATGGAGCTATTCTATGCTGAACATATTGCCAAGGCATGGATACAAATCACTCAAGATGAAGGAATCGAGGTGAACGTCGACCTGTCTGATTTCAACACCAGAGAGGTAGTAAGGAAGGATTTTGTCGACTACACGATACCAGGAACCACGATGTTCATGGCTGTGGAGAGGTATGATGGACCACCAATACGCTTCATCATGGACACGGGATGTGGACACGATTTGATCTCAAGAGAGAAAGTCAATGCCATGGGCCTTACCACCAAGGAAGGACCCAAATCCGTGAGCTTCATGACAGCGAATGGTGTAACTAGTACATCAGAGATGGTGGACATCAATGTGGACGAACTACCCATGAGGTCCGAGGCACACGTGTTGGAAAGCACACCATCAGTCTTTTCCATCGGGAAACGGTGCATGGAACAAGGGTACTCATTCATATGGCCGGCAAATCAATTGCCATACCTCATCGACCAGAACGCGAACAAGATTCCGCTATCGGTGCATGACAACATACCCTACATCAAGGTGAATGATGATGACGGGAGATGTTTACCAAGACCAGACGGCTTGGCTACGATACTTCATCGCATACTGTCAGGTATGGGGCATGAAGACGAGGTCACAACAAGTCAGGAGACACAACAAGAGGAACTTCCGCCCAAGAAACCACGGAGACGGAAGAGAAAGAAGAAAGATAACCAGAAAGGTCAGGATGGTGAATCTGATATCAATCCAGCTGTTGCAGGCGTCGAAGGAGAACCAGAGGAACACGGTGATGACAGGTATTCTCCTGAAGAGGAATATGACGGGGAAGACCCGAGATTCGATCGTGATCACGAAGGTCAACCTGAAGAAGCCGGAGGCGACGAACATGGAGGTGATGCGGATTCTGAACGAGGGGAGAGTGACATTGATGAAGATGAAGAAGGACTATTGGAAGTCGATGTGGTTGACGGGGAAACCAGACTATCAAAACCAGGAGTGCTGAAGAACGAGGCGAAATCCATATTGCACTTGATGACGCACCGATACAAGAACCCATACTGCAAGTCATGTGTGAGAGCAAAGATGAAGCACTACAAGACTAGCAAGGGAGCTTTCAAACGGAAATTGAAGGCATTCGGTGACCTTATTACTTTCGATCTCATGAACACTCAGAAGATGGCGAGAGATGGGATCATGCCGGATAAGGACATATTGGTGATTCGAGATCGGTTCACTGGTGTGATATGGGGTTATCCATTGAAAGCAAGCAATAGTGACGAAGTGGTGCAGGCAATGAAGCACTATATCGGTAAGAGAAAGGTCACCAACGCTTACTCGGATGATGCGCCACAATTCGAATCAGCACTCAAGGAACTCCGGATTCCACTAGACCAGTCGCTTCCAGGACATCCCCAGAACAATTCACTCGCCGAAAGAAACAATCAGTTCATGATGCTTACCACATCGACATGCCTACTAGAAGCCGGACTACCACCATGTTTTTGGCCATTTGCAGTGGAATGCGTAAGCCATTTATTGAACATCGAGAAGCTGAGCGATGGCAGC